TGCATGGGGTCCGTCGTGGCTTTTAACTGTACCTATCGATAACTGACAAACTAAAAAGAGCTTTGTGGGCAAATATTTTTTTGTGTTACATCCAAAATGCCAAAAGGTAAGTATCTGGCAAAGAACAGTGACTCATCATAAACTTAATGCATGATTTTTTTGTGTAAACCTTATATTTTATCCTTTCCTTATACATTTGGATATTTATTTATCAATATAAAATGTTCGTAGTAATTTCTATGTATCGTTTTTACACCTATCTTAATACTGTCTTAGTGAGAACTCCAAATAAATACAGATTGAAAAAATCATAAAAGAATTAGTAAAATTCACCATGCATAATCCGTTCCTTGGAAAATTCTATGTCTAGATTTTTTTTAATTCTTTGTAAATAATATAAATAATGAATAATGTAAATAATATTTTTACATTAGATATGCTTAAAATATATAAAATGTTCACATATTTGCAATTCGAAATGGTTTGAAACGTAACTTAACTTAGTTATGACTACTTTCATACCGGTACGAATTAGTTTTGTTGAACATAAACAATTATATATTAACTAAAAGTGCGTGTGTGAGACCAAAATCTACATGTTAAAATTTTTCCTATTTTTTTTTCTACCGTACATATAACCATAAATTATATAAGAAGTCTCTTTAATATTATCTCTTAGTCGTGACTAAATGTGGGAGTCGAGACGAGGTTCATGTTAAAGTTAGTTTAAAATCGTACTTATTTGTGCACTATTCCAATTAGGATAAGATCCCTGTCATATCTAGGATGTATATATCTATGAAATTATGTTGAATTGTCCTCTTCTCTGTCTCTATTTATAGAATCGAAAATAACGGGAGCTTATTTATTTTATCAGTACATATGTAATCGTCTCAGTGACATCATCGCCGGCTGCCGATTTCAAGGTTAAAAAAGAATGCTACAAAACCCTGGTGACTGAATAATTTCACAAAATTACCTCGTCATCTCAAAAGCGACGTAATGGTCGTAATTCTACTGACAATTGACATATTCCGGTTTTATTAAGACATATTGATACGGTCATAACATTTTGGAACAGCTACCGATTTTTGTATAATTTACAATATTAATTTAATAAACATTAACTGTTGAATATTTTTTTATAAAATTGTAACTAGAAACTTGGAAATTACGAAGAAACAAACCAGAGCCAGGAACGTATGAATTTATTACAGTAATAATAATAATAATATTTAATGTAGAATTAAACTTTCTTCTTCTCTGTCGTTGCAGTCTTGTCAGACTGGTCGTGGTCATCACGTATCAGTGACCCGCTTTACCAGGCGCCGCCACTCCTCCCTAGTCGCTGCCTTTTTTGTACATTGGTGCAGGGGGACATCCACAGCCGCTCTGATTTGGTCGGTCCACCTCATAGGCGATCTTCCTCGTGGTCTATTGCCCTCAACTTTCCCCTGAAATTAAACTTTAACTAAATTTAAATTGAACAGATTGATTATTAGAATCGAACTTGTTTTTACCATGAAATCGTAAGTAAGAGTTTACTTTCATTTCCCCGATCTTAAATCGGTTTAACACTTAATTGATCGTTGTCAGTTTTCGAACACATTAATTAATACGCTGATGCTGTGAATGAAATATACGACTAGAACATCTGTTCTAGCTATTTTAACGTCTCAGTTGGACTCTAAATTTCAATTAAATTTACCATTACTTAGTTCTAAACTGGCTTTCAAATTGAAATGGTTTAAAATTAATATTTTATATGAGATATGTTTAATTATGGACCTTATGCATTAGATTATAAAGTCCACAGATGGTTACTATTCAGGCAGAAGAACAAAACATGTTAACACGCAAAGGCATATATTTAATTTTTCAAGCAAACATTTTCTAATACAAATTACAAATAAATATAGACATTAAGGTTATTCAAAATAAAGAAAATAGGATTCCGGGTATGAAAAAACTAAGATAAAGACGAGATGACAAAAAAAACTGAAAAAAATATCTTTGTTTAAGTAATATAAAATATCTAATTACATTTCTCAAGTCAGGAAACAAAAGAAAAGTCGTTAAGATTTTTTATTTATTAAAGGATCAATACCAGTATAAAAGATTTCAATGTCATAAAACTGAGAAATTGAAGCGTGCAAGTACAAAGTGGGTTGATTTGCCGTCTTGAGTTACACTATTTGACGCCACTTGAATCAATGGAACGCCATTGGCTCATTGTTTAATCGTCTGTTTTATCAGCTGTAATGGCCATTGGAGTCCGTGCATGCGACTCATTATAACACTCATTCGAAGTGTATACCAACTTTAACAAACCCACTTTTAAGGACTATAACTTTCAATTTATTCGTATTGTACTTCAATTATTATAATACAAAAAAAAACCTTGGTCGTAATCGTAACCTTAGGCTTGTAGATGTGAAGTATGACAAGTATGTCTATCTTACTTCTTACTAATATTATAAATGCGAATATTTGGTTGGATGGATGTATCTCTCTGTGGAAGAAAACATGGGCTACTAATGATGTTTTTTAATACCGCGCAGACGGAGTCGCGGGAGACCGCTAGGTATTGTATAAGGATTTCTAAAGACTAGTAGAACAAAGAATAAGTAGATTATTTAAAGAATTTAAAAATATTTAACTATAAATATAAAGGCTTTATTCGTAATTCTTCATTGTTAAATTGCATTCAGTTTCATGCATCACAAAGAAGTTTTTGTGTAAATTATTTAGTTAAAGACACAACACATACTCAGTGAAGTATTAATATTTATAATGTTTTCTCGTGTCTGGCGACATTGTGTCTGCTAGCAACTGCGGCGTAGTAACCTTATACTTTTTTATCTTTTTACTTCCTTAAATCATATTTTATATTACTTGAATATTTACATACTGTTTTATATTAAGTAGTTTCTCCAAAAACATTTAATACTAGCTGTCGTCCGCGGCTACGTCCGCGCAGAACTAAAAAAAACTTAATAAGTAGCCTATGTGTTCCTTCAGAGTACGTTTTACATCTATGCCAAATTTCATCGGGATCCGTTCTGCCGTTCTGGAGATATCTTCAAACAAACATTCGTCCATCCATCCATACATACATCCAAACACTTGCATTTATAATATTAGTACGATAAGTTACAAATATACAAGTTTATTGTTGTTTTTTTTTTTAATTATGATATTTATAACCCTTTAAGTTTGATTAGTGATTGAAAACAATTTGTTTTTTTTTTTACTTTTACACAAAGTATTGTTTATTTCTTAAAGTGTAAGTACAAAGTGTAGTGTTCACATTTTGTACTTCAGATAAATTTGATTACAATGACACTTGATTAATTGCTCAGAAAGATATCTTAATGAAAACTAGGGGATTCCCCAATTAGCTTTTGTTTCCATTTCTTTGTTTTTTGACGTAATACACGCACACATTGACACGTCCGTAAATAATCTCATTTTCTAAGAATTTAAAATTAGGTTAAAGCAAATTTTTATAACCATGCACCTTGAGATTATTGAACAGTGACCTTTTTTATATAAAAATAAAATGGACAATAAATTTCTCCGCTCTCGAGAATATTTGCCAAGACTTGTATCAATACAATTTCATTCTTTATTACTTGTCTTTACAATATTTCTGTCCACATTACAATATTTGCAATCATATAGTGTTTCTTATCGACAAAGGCCATAATATTTTTAACGAATCTGCATCTTTTAACGTAGACTAATTCATGTAATTTAAATAATTAAACAATAAATCTTCAAAAATATTCATTTTGATATCTGAATTTAATAATTGTTTTTACATCTAGTATTTTGCATTTTGTAATATTAATCATACACTTCAATTTAAGAAGCGTTACATTCACAAAAACTAGAAAGGTTACCTTGTTTTTTTGTTATAATGCATAAAACTTGTGTTATAATACAAAGTAATACCGTACAACAATAATGATTGTAAATTTACATAAATGTGTAAAAACTATTATTAATCAAAACTCGGTATTCACAGAAATCCTCACATTGTATTTCCTTCTGCACTACCCAATGCACTTTTAACTCCATCTTTACAAGTAAATTAAAAAAAAACATAATTAGTAGCCTATGTGTTCTTCCAGACTATTTTCTACGTCTATGTCAAACAGCTCGATCCCTTCAGTCGTCCTAGAGATATCTTCAAACAAACATTCATCCATCCATCTAAACATTGGCATATAAAATATTAGTAAGATATTAAGATTGTTAATCTATTTAATGTCGTTTTATTTAATACCTTTTACTCCATTTTTATGACTGTTCTTTGTTTAAAAATTCTGTTTTTGAATCTTACGTACAAGTATCGTATTCGCAAACACGACATCAATAAATGCATTTCAAAATCGTCCTTTGCGACACAAACTGAACCTTACACTTGGTTAACAACATCGCCCACCGACCCGAACATTCATTACGATTACAAAGACGACGTCATACGTTATTTCCATATACTGACGCACATGATCTTCGCTACTCCAAGGCGTTTTCTACTCATTTACCTAAACAACTATAGTAACTAAGCCAAACACATAAATTTTATAGTTCTCAAGCTCCTTGTTACACTCATCACTGTCAAAGATTTAGTTCTATTTTAAGGACCTGTTATTTATTATATATGAATAATTGAAGCATCTATTGAATACAACACCAACTTACTATATCATTCTCTTCTTAGCTTTTATTTTTTAACTATTTAGGCTGTCTCCTGAAACACAGTTTCAACTAGTTCAGGAGACAGAGCCCCCAAAATTGTGAAAAATGTTTTTTTTGTGCTAAATAAAGATTTTTTTTATTTGGTATAATTAGCCTTTTTTCGCTCTTCTCATCTTCGTGATTGTCCAATTTGAGAGATGTACATATGTATGTAATGTGGGATACTCTAAAAGAGCAAACTTATTTTCCAATTGTAGCTTTTGCTTTTCTTGATTGGATTTGTTTGTTCACAGGCGACGCCGATATGTCGCTGAAGCAGGGCAGCGGCACCGGCAAGGTCCACTTCGGTGGTCTGGACGATGTGTCCCTGTACGGCACGCCCGTGGAGCCCGCGCCACCCGCGCCCGACGCCAAGCAGGGCTTCCTGCGAAACCAGCTGCAAGCACTCTTCCAACCGACCGACAACAAGCTAGCAATGAAACTCTTCGGCTCAAAAAAAGCGTTGATGAAGGAGCGCATCAGGCAAAAAGCGGCCGGCCACTGGGTCATCCATCCGTGCAGTAGTTTTAGGTATGTACCTTTTCAAGTTTATCAATATCCGAGCTTAACAAATGAAATATTAAGTATCCAGCTATATTAAATTAATACAAATTAAAAAGTAGGTTCTTACTGATTTTTGCTTTATAAGGAAAAATCATACCAGCACTTTAAATTTTCCAATAGTCATTTCAGTCGACGAACGACTCGAATCCATTGTCTTTGCACTATAAACAGATTCAAGTGCTGGTGTCGATTGCTTGGAAACAATGTAAGCAATCTTGTTAAGATTTAACATAACATAAAATATTTATTCCGCAATACATTGGACGCGGCGGGGCTTACGAGCAGTTAAAAATAAAGAGCTATCACGTTTGCAATAAAACAGTTTTTGCAACTGTGTTGCTCGTATCCTCTTGGTTACGACGTCCGCGACGTCTGGAACTCGTCTACTTTAAATATCCATTGCGAGAATCGCATATAACAGAAAGCTAACGCACCGTGATTATACATTGTATGATTACAAATTATTATTGCTATTATTCCCAAACAAATTTTTATAGAATTAAAAATATAAGCTGGATATATGACACAGATTTGCCATTCTTCTTCTCAGTCGCTACAGTTTTAGAATGGTCGTGGCCATCATGTAGGTGCCGTGACTCGTTTCACCAGATTCCACTCTTCCTAGACTACGTCTTTTTTCGTACACATAGCAGGGGGACGTCTACTGCCGTTCTAACCTAGTCTGTCCACCTCATTGGGGATATACCTCGTGCCTTGGTGTCTGTTGATTTGTTCAAAAATAACCCAATATACAGAACGCAAAGTATAGAAGAGACAGACTTCAACTATACTCTATGCGGTCGGCTGTTTCTCAGCAATTTTATAAAATTCGTTTTCCAACTTACTTTTACCATCAACATTTTAAAATATTATGCAAGTTTTGGATAATGTAGACCCAGAATCTGTCTCTCAAATTTTTTTTTATCAAATGTCAACCTCTGTTGTTTGTTTATTAGTTTAATATCCATATTCATTTCTTCCTTATTTTAATGGTATAGCTATTTCAGCTATTAAAAAATTCAACATTAATATAAAATTTCAACTCGTAAAAAACTTCTCGGACATAAAAGATAAGTAAATAGATTCACAAAGGCGGACTTACGAGCTCAATTTAGGCCGCAAATGGTAATTAGCTATACATTAAAAATTCGTATAAAACGCCCGGAAGCTTGTTACTTATTCACTGAAACTGTCGTATTAAATGCCGCGGCGACGCCGACACTGGAATGCAGAATTATTCATCCCCTGTCTCACTTGCAAAACCGCTGTACTTCAAATGAATTGAATTAATACATTCTATGACGTAACACTTTTACTAAACTTGTATCAACTTAGACATAAGTATTAGCTAGAAGCGTCGCACGTTGCAATGACAAAGTTTAAATAACAAATTCATGCTCTACTACCTTTCTATAACTATAAAAATACTTAATTAGTATCCTCCTTACAAAATAAAAATATATGTAATTAAAACTACTAGACCTATAAACTAAGCATCCAAAAAACATTTTGTTAACTATATCTGGCCGTGGACAAACTAACGTATATGCCACGGTCCGGTCGGGCGAAGGAGAACACCGCGGGGTTTAGTGGGTACTCCTGCCTTGATCCCAGGCCGGGAGTCTCACAAGAAACTGCTCCTGCTGCTTAAGCATTACCTGAAGCTGCAGCTAGTTGTTGATTATAAGTAACATTTCAAAACTAAATAATTAATATAGGTCCAATGTAGAACTAGTCTAGCATACAAGTAATTAATTTGTCCATTGCAACCTCAGTTACTAGTCTAATCGCAGCAGAAGTGGTAAAATAAACTTTATTCCTATTCCAATTAGGTTCAATTTCCATTCAGCATACGTATTGTATCCGAGCCTCGAGTGATTGGCAGTCATTAACATAATTTCCGAGTGGCGGCGCGCTATCGTTTATCGGCGAGGTGACTGCTTCCGCTCGGATTGCTCTCTGCTCACAGTCGCAATGCGATTAGATACAGATGCAACACCGATTATAATTCGCGTCAACGCATTTTGCAAGCTGTTTAGATTTCTCTCACTAAATCTACATGAAAGGATGATTTTGTAAACATTTTAAAGGCCGGCAACGCATCTGCGGTTCCTCTGGTATTGCTGATCCATGTGCGTCGTTGAACACCTCGGTGTTCCTGCTGCTCATTTGCCCCCTTCTCTTATAAAAAAATACGAAAACTTAAAAGGTACACTACAACAAGTCAAAATTAAAATACATCACTGCTTTCTTTGATATGATTATCCTTTTTACGCCAATTTTCACATTGATTGTCTTTATTCCTATAATTTATCATTAGGAATTCCAGGGATCTAGTTCATCAATGCAATTACAAAATTGATCTTTTCATAGTGTCGATAATTTGTTAGAAGAAATAAAATAATATTGTCGGAATTTACTTAACAGACAGTTCAATTTACATTGTAAAAATAACTAGTTCTTAGTAATTAATAAATCTGATTGTACCTTTAAGACACTGCGAAAGAACATTCAAAGGACATCTTAGTAGCCAAAATCGATTCTGCCGTTTAAACTACGGGAGGTTACAAATAGAATACAAACTTTTCTTTTACTAAAAGGTGGCAAACAAGCAACCAGCTTCCTAAAATAGCATTTGGATGCATAAAAAATACTTAGCCATTACACGCGGAACTAATCTCCTGCCAGATGGGAATCGATCTAGTAATGTCAAGTTTAGAGAGCGCCGGTGGCTCAGGGGTTAAAACACTTGACTTGTAATCTGCAGGTCCTGGGTTCGAATCCCGCCATGTATTTATGTGTTTTTTTAGTTTCGATTTACATATGTACATTTATCCGAGGTTCTTGCGGTAAATGAAAACAACGTGATGCAACCTGAACATATCTGCGAAGAAATATAAAGATATATGTGTAGTCGTCCAACCCGCATTGGGCCAGTGTGGTTGACTATGACCTAATCACCTCCCTAACTTAGGGTAGGCTCCGAGCCCCTCGGTGGGGACGTATAGTGAGCTGAGGACCTTGAATGTCAAGTTTGACTTAAAATGGGGTTTAAATATGTGATCCCAGTTTATACTATTGAAGAGCATAGGAATAATACCATAAATAGCATGCCAGTAGTCCAATAATAAAATCGACAACGTTACATGTTCATCAAAAGGCATTGTGTTACCGCGGGAACAATGGCGAGCAACGCATCGGCCAACGACAATACAATGCATGCGTCGTACCACTCGTTACGTGAATAGGGCTGCCAGTTTTACGAGTAAAGCTATTCTTGTGACGGACAAATCGACGTTTTGAAACGAGAAATGTTTGGTATGATTTCACTATTGTATAGGAGTAAGTTCATGTGATGACTAAAATTATAAAATCTTTAAAACCAGATATGTTTGTTACGAAACAAATAACGAACTCAAATTGTCAACTTAATTGATATTAATATATTCTTTAAATATAGCTGATTGATAATTGTACTTAACGATGTAAATTAATTATAGATTATTTATAGCTATAGAAAATAAGCACCTTAGCAGCTTTCGTTAGAGAATAAGAGCACCAACTCAGTATTAACCTTTCTAAATAGAAATCTAGAGCATTTAATTTTAATAATTAAATAAATAGCATATCTAATTAAACGAAATTACAAAAGAGTGAAAGTTTTATAACATCCGAAGAAGATATTGAAAATTTAGATAATTTTAATAACGAATTAAACAAGAATAAAGCAGTAATCGGCCCTGATGGATAGAAATCTAGGAAATCCGGCCACTGGATTAATACATTACTAGTTGTATGAACTGGAGATCAAATTCAATGCCAAGGTCCTGGGGTCCTCTACGACTACCGTATCATTAGGACTATCGCCTCGTTGGGTTGACGTTAGCTATATCTAGTTCTTACCAACTATAACGTAGCAATTGTACCAAAGGTTAAATTTTATTTCAATGTAATTAGGGTAGGCTCCGAGTCCCTTAGTGGGGACGTATAGTGAGCTGATGATGATGAGGTACTTTTATATAATGTGTGTGTGTGTTTATCGTTGGGATAAATCGTATCAATACTTAAAAAAATATTTGAAAAAAACAGTGTATATTAATTATTCATCGGAATTGTTTAACGACACAGAAAACACGGACGTGATGTACCTTAAATTTGAAATTCATGTAGTCTGCTCGCAACACCGCCGCGTCTGCCGCCGGCCTTACATCGGACGGAGTAACAATGAAAAATTCATCGCTTGAATATTTCCAATAAATTTGCCTGTCGAATGAGTTACGTATGTTCCACTTGTTCCAATTTATTTATTCCGCCGTCTCTTTATGATAGCAAACATTTTTTTGTTTTTATATATTGAATAACACACGCACAAAAACACGTCATTATCCTATTCATCTGAGTTAAATTAAACATTTTTTTCTATTGATTAAAAACACATTTTACTATAACAATTCAATGAAAGAAATATCTCGTAATTTATAGTTACGGTTTAGTTAAATGTAAACTGAGTTTTTTTTTCTTTTAATTACCATTGACTTTTTTTGTTAAATCAACACCACGGCCATTGTAATGTCTTAGAAAAACTGGATCAATCATTCAAAACGTAGTACGCAGTGATGTGGTCTATTTCTACACGATTTAACACGCTTTACGAGTTCACAAGAAAACCGCTACCTTTTATTATATCAAATATAATAAAAGGTAGCGGTTTTCTTTTTCCTTTTTTTATTATAATAGTAATTATTTAAAAATGTACCATATTTTCTCTGAATCATTACTATGTGTACTAGGCAAACATGAAGCATGGTTTCAATATTGTTCCTTTCGGATTAATGTATGATTATAATTTAATCTCTACGACTTGCACAAAATATATTCACTTTTAATTTACAATACGTTACTTATATTTTTTATATACAATATATTAAAAAGTCACTAACACAAAGAATTGTCTATTGCAATGATGC